ACTGAGAATCTCAGCCAGCAGAATGTTACTTTATCTTTACACATTTGACACTAAAACAGACACATCTATTCTCCAGATAAAACAGGACATAATCTGTCTAATTGCAGCCCAAACATACAGCCATGACCCGATGATTATCTCGAGGCATCACTCACCTTAGCATGCTGGATGCTTGAAACTGAAGGTAAAGCTGGTTGCATTGTTGCCATATTACCTATTTGCTCTGTCCTCAGTAGGAGGGCAGTTTAATATTATAAAGAGTCACGGTTTCGACTCAGACTCTATTCATCAACAGAACTAGGATCCAATTCATGTTTTAAAATATACAGACAGTAGTTAGAGAATTTAGTTTGTCCATTAATTCCTTCTGTTCTGCTTATCCGGTGTCGGGTCATGAGGGTAGCAGCTTCAGTAGGGAGGCCCAGACGTCACTTGGGCCATCTCCTCCGGGGGAAACCCAAGTTGTTCCTAGGCCAGCCGAGAAACAGCGCCTCCAGTGTGTCTTGGGTCTCCTTGTGGGTCTCCTTCCGTTTGGACGTACCTGGAACACCTCACCAGATGCCCGATCCACCTCATCTGGCTCCTCTCGACCTCACCTATGGTCATGACTAAAAGCTCATGACTATAGATGAGGGTAGTAACATATTGCCCAGTATATTGATAGCTTTGGCTTCTGGCTCAGCTCTCTCTTCACCAAAATTGACCGGTAGAGCGCCCACTTCACATCAGACGCCGCACCAATCCGCCAGTCGATCTCCCGCTCCATCTTCCCCTCATTCGTGAACAAGACCCCAAGATACTTAAACTCCTCCACTAGGGGCAGTACATCCTCCCCAACCCGGAGAAGGCACTCTACCCTTTTCCGGCTAAAGACCATGATCTTGGATATGGAGTCACCGATCCTCATCCCGGACGCTTCACATTCGGCTGCTAACCGCTCCTAGACACTTCTAGATCTAACCACATTATCCGATAATAGGTTTTGGTTTTAAACACACATTGAAGGCACTTGAGCTGTGTTAAATGTTAAAACCAAATAATGGTGTTAGAATATTATTCAGTCTAAAATGTACCTTTAACATTTAAGAAACCCTTAACCAACCTTAAACAGAGGTTATGGACTATCAAAAACCTACAATGCAGCAATTGAGTTTACTTTGGAGGACCAGAATGTTCACATTTTGGACAAAGATGACAGGTGGTTTGAGAGGGGCGTGAAGGAAGCCATCTATGTTAGGAGAGAAAAACCAACCTTAAACAGAGGGGGTGGATTTTAGGTTTCAAAAACCTACAACACAGCAATAGAGTCCGTTCTTCCCCGCTATCATCGTAACCCCAACCCCAATAGAGGGGACCAAAACATCTCGCCTGTTTCAGCCAGGCCAACACTTCACTCTAATGACCGTCTTTCAGAGACATAGACAGGTATGGGGTATTACAGGCCGACAAAGAACTGAAACAAACCCAGTTCCAAGGGGTTGACCCACTCGCCCAGTTCAATTTGCATCTTTTCTAAACAAAAAAAGGCTTGAATTTGGTGCACTCTACAAAGCCTAGATCTCAACGCTATTTCTGACATTTTGAATTGAAAAAGCTTCCTGGATGGGAAGTGTCTTCAAAGTTGAAACAAAGTCCTTTGGATTGTTTTTTTTAACCTTTTTTTGGTACGACTATGACCTGGATGACTGCAAATCTTCATCAGCTTAACTGGTGACGTAAAAAAATGCAGTAGCCCTGTGCATAGACAATGTTCTGGTGAGTCAACTTTACTCAGGAAAAAAGTGTTTTTGTTTAATGTGGAAGGTAAATATGGCTTAGAAACTTCAATGCTCTGGAGTTTTGTTGGAACATATTAACTAGATGAAGTTCATATGGTTTTTCACGGCTAGATTTTGGAACAGCTACCACTCTTGGCTCTGCTTCCTGACTAGTTGATGAATTCCGTTTAGAAGAAGCCTCCCACTTCTGTCAAAAGGCCTGTGGTGCTGATCATTACTGTGTTTTCTCTTGCCAGATACTGGGATAACTTCCATTCCTGTGCCACGACGGCACTGGCCGACTGCCAAGAGGGAGCAACGGACCTCTGGGAAAAACTGAAAAAGGAGTCCCGCAGCCTGAATTTCCGTGGGAGTTTGTTTGAACTCTGTGGCGGAGGCAACGGAGCGCCCAGATCCGCCGACGCCAGGGGCCTCAGCTTGCTCTTAACCGCTCTGCCTATCATACTGACTTGGCTGGCGTTTTAACCCATATGAGAAGAAACAGAAAGCGAAAGAAATGAAACACAAGAAAATATGTCCAACTAAAAAAAAAAAGAAAACAAAATCTAAGAAAAAGTGATAGCTAAAGCTCCATACTGAAACACAACCTCCAGGACGTCACAGGAAAACACACCCCGTTGGATTTTTACAGCCCGGTTTGCCCAGTGGGATCCTGGAGAGCTCATCCAATCACACGCAGCCTCACCCAGAGGTCAATAACATGAAATATTCAACACGCCGATGACCTGAAATGAAGACGATAACATTTGGATGGAAACTTACAATTGTGGAATGACTTAGTATTAAAGGGAGCCATGCATTATTGATGTATAGTAGGCTAGGGCTTGACAGCATTATGTGACGACTGGGTGCTGACACAGTATCAGGCTATATGCTAGAGATCCCGTATAGCCTAAGGTACTAATTCATGTGCAATGCGAAATCAAGTTTAACTCCACAAAATGAATAAGACAAGCCAAGGCGTCCGGCCCACCTCTGACCCGTCGCCTCGTTTTCAATAAGGACAGATTTTCTTTTTTTTTTTTCTTAATGGCACCAAGTTGACCCTGCTGACCATGTAGATGTGATGGAATGATTGCATAATGGTGACATTATTGTGTTAGCGGTTAATGTGCAGAGGCCACGGTCACACCAGCCATGAAGACGCCATGATGGATGACAGAGACGCTTTTGCTAGATGTCCCAATCTGCAGGTTGGCTTTTGCAGACAGCAAGAAAAGCTGTTGAGACCGTATTTATCTTTGACCTGAGCAGCATTACTCACATTCCATTATGAGACCATCGTCACTGCAAAAAATTTAATTATGAGTCATTTTCTTCTTACAATAAGTGCATTTTTTCTTGAATTGAGGAAACTAGAGAGAAACTTTGCCAATGGAACAAGACAATTTTCATTTAAAATAAGAAAAAACGGTCGCCTTGCTTTAATTCAAGTGCATATTATCTAATTATCTTATTTTAACTGTAAAAAATCAACTTTCACTGGCAGATCATCGTATTTAGCTGCTCAAATGAATGGAAAATACACTTAATTTAAGACATTTTTGCTAATTTCTAGATGGTTTTTTCAGTGATCGCTGTAAATTTATGTTACTGCACTGGAAAAACGACCTATAAATAAGTAAAATATTTACCTAAATTAAGTGTATTAACCCTTAATTTGAGTTGGTAAATGACATAATTTGCCAATGGAATGATTATTTTTACTCTTAAAATAAGATAATTAGATATCATGCATTTGAAATAAAACATTGCAATTGTGTCTGGTTCCATTGGTAAAATGTCTCTTTTATCTCCTCAATTCAAGAACAAATGCCCTTATTTTAATTAAAAAAAATGATTTATCTAGATTAAAATTTTTTCCAGTGTTTTATTTTACATTCAGTTAAGATTCTTTACTGAAGCTGAAATGATATAAACTTCATTCTGACCATGAATCTCTTAAAGGCGCAGGGGCGTGTATGGTTTACCTGTGATTAAAATCAAATGAATCTGCATGAAATCAGCTAAAAAATGATCAAAATATTTCAGGAAATGGGCATTAAACCATAAAACTATCATATTAATATGAAATATTAGAAAATTCAAGTTTGTGAGTTTGAAGGAGTTCAGGATATGCGGATCAAACCAAAGCATAGTTGGGCTAGGTTGTTTATTTACACTATTTTTCTTTTAATTGATTCCTAAGTACGGAAGCCCAGAGTGGCCATACTTGACTTGTTTTTTTTTCCTTTACCTTCCTGAGATAAGTATCTCGTTATCACGGTTAAACCATTAATTGTTTTCTTCAGATAAGAAGATAATTATCACGAGAAAACTGTTAGTGATTTATTGAGATAATGAGATCATTAACCCGTCTGAGCGACAGCCCTGGATTCCCAGTCCATCCATGCCTGCGGGGCCCGTAGTTTTGCAGCCGCGGTGCCACATGTACGCAAATAGTCCGTTTTTTTAGTTTCCTGTTTCTTTCCACTCATTGTCAGGTCATGGTGGATGATTGGATCGCATGAAATACAGTAGAAACAATTCTGTTTTTTAATGAAAATCTTTAATCTGGACTGATTTTGGGGGTTAATGCATTTTATAGCTGTTACAGGCGGAACACCGGGGCTGCTCAGAAAACATCTGGTGGAAGCAAATCATTAAACCAACAACGTCGTCTCGTTACCTAAAGGTTAAAAACAGGATTATTTATTACAGAATTACACACAGGCTGCCATGACTTCTACCAGCTAATGCGGTACTGAAGGATGGAATCCGTTTTAAAATACACCAATTATCTCGTTATCACGAGAAAACGGCTTTTGTTACCTTTAAATAATTAAACCCCGGTGAAAAAGTATCGGAGGAACAGGACCGCTCTGGGCTTCCGTAGAGAAACACTTTTTAGCAGCTAGTCAGTTGGATAACTCTTATTGAATAATTACATTTAGCCGATGCATTGCCCCAATTTTTGATTTATTGAAGTTGTTGAAGTTTTATCTTTAGATTTCTGTTTAAAAGAGGCTTTTAATGGAAACGCTGATGAAACGTTACGTCCAGCGTAGCTAAGATACGAATAAACCGTGGCTGAAGAGTGATATGACTGTTGCCAGTAAGCATCATCCCATTTTCATAACAGTGATTTTTAGTAGATGATCAGAGGTGATATATTTTAGCTCTGTGTTAGATTAAAGAACAAAGTCCCAAATGTCCGTAGCATCATAAATTATTAACAGACTTTAAATGAATATTAAAAATTGTGTTTTTTGTTTTTTTTGGGAGACAGAAACATTTCCACTGCCTTCTAACTAAAAGATGTGTACTTCTGTTAGTTTGTTAGTTTGTTTATTGCTTGGCTGGTTTGTCTCTTTGTTTAAAGAAAGTTGCATAAAAGTTTTAAAAGATGGATTTATTTCAAAATCATCTAATAAGAGAAAATGTATATGAAAAGGATTTTGAGATATTTAAAAAAAAAGAGAAAAATGGTTTTATTAGATATAGTCTATCCCAAACAGTTTTAAGAGCAGATTGATTATTTACAGATTATATAGACCTAATCAGGTATGGATGATAAAATAAAGAATTGCTAAAATGATACAGAGTTATGAATAAAAGTAATAATGTTTGAAAAAAAAAAAAACGTGTTTGTGGTTTTAATCTCTATGTTTAGATTATTTTTCATGATTTTTCTACCTGTTTGGTTGATTTTAACATCGAATTCCTCCTGGCTCAGACGTGGGCGTGGAAAGTATGAATTATTAATAGAAGAAAGTCTCAGAGCCGCTTCACACAAAGAAAAATAACAGGAGAAATTATGAGAACTTAAAGGATGAGCTGATAATACCGAATAAACTGGGATTCTAATGACAGAAAAGGGCTCTAAACTTTAACGGTCCCAAAGGTGAGTTCTTAGTGACTGATGTGTCGTAGAGTTTGAATGTAAAACCTAAACTTATTTTTTTTCCAACAGCAGTTAGGAAAGTAATTAGATGCAATAGAATTGATGAAAGCTGAAATATTTCTACACCGTTACCGTTAAAGTATTCATGTTCATTAAAGTCGTAGGGAA